GGATGAGGAGCTCGAACGGACTAGAGGAATGCATGTTATTAAATGATTTATAATCGTTGGATTATAAGATTTAGATACATTTAAAATTAAATTTTTAATTTTTTAAAAAAATTAAAATTAATATTTTTTTATTAAATAAATAAATATATAATACTAAAAATAAATTTTAAGTAAAAATACAAATTATATAATTATAATACTTTTAGATAACTAACTTTTATCGCTCAAAATTTACATGTAATTTATAATATTGTATGAGTTCACTTGTATAATTCATATTCACGCAATGGCATTCCGTTGTAATCTACCTTGTCACTACAGCATTCTTGTAACAATTACTATACATAATTTAATCCCCATATCAACGGTAATTTTCAGGGTGGCTTGCTTGCATCCACCGCCTACTGCCAGTCCCCATCAATTCTTCCTTTCACTCTTCTTCTTTTGAAAATATTGGGTTTCGTTTCATATTGTTCATACATCCCGTATGATTGCAGCTGTTCTTCATTTTTCTCAATTGATGGAGGAGCACTGGTTTTACAAATCCCAGGTGAAAAGACAAATTCTTTGTCTCCGTTCCCATTTTTTTATTTTTCACTAAATGGGTAGAATTTTGCTTCTTTATTCATTGATTACGCGTAAATGTTTTCGAATTGGTAGCAAAGGTTTGAACTTTACAGTTCTTTTCCCTTTGTGGGTTTTTAATCTTCTTGTGTTAGTAATTCTGGATATAGAAACTGGGTATGTAGTAGTGCCAGATGAGAAGCCAAGTGGGTTTCAATTTTGTGTTTAATATTCTTAATTTTTGGTTGCAGAAGATGTCATAGGATGATATGGGTAGTATGGAATCAAGTTCCAAGGTTTCCCACGTGCATATCTTTGTACTCATCGGAAATATAATTTGTTTGTTTTGTTTTTTTAATTCGGGGTGAGAAAATTTTGTCCGGGTCTGTTGTGAATGATTGAAAATTTTGATTCTCAAGAAACCAATATGATCAGAAGAAAGTGGTGAAGCTTGGTTGTTGTTCATTGGGAATTTGTATTTATGGAAGAAGCTAAAACTCTTGCAAGGCAGCAAAGCTTTCACCAAAAGAAGATGGCTAAGCAGTTGACACGAAAACGAGACGATACACTTTTGCATTCTGCAGTGAGAGAAGGAAACTTAGAATTGGTTTTGGAAATAATTAGTGGTAGTGAGGATGCAGAATTGAAGGATTTGTTGTCTAGGCAGAACCATTCCGGTGAAACGGCTTTGTATGTTGCTTCTGAGTGTGGTTTTGCTGATTTAGTGAAGGAAATGATCAAGTATTATGATGTCAGTTTGGCTGGTATTAAAGCAAGAAATGGCTATGATGCTTTTCATATTGCTTCAAAGCAAGGAGACATGGGTAAGTCACTATGTGTGTAGGATGAGCTTTGTTAATTTTGAATGAGTGCTTCCTTCCCTTTTTGTTATTTTGTTTACACTTCCTCTGCAGATTTATTCCCTGTTATTATCAAGCAACAAGTCTTCCTTGGAGATAATTTCGTTTTTTCTTTTTTCATTCTGTTTGTCTCAGCGGTACTGAAGGTCCTCATGGATGCTGATCCTGAGCTTTTGATGACTTTTGATTCTTCAAACACCACTGCTCTGCATACCGCTGCCTTGCAGGGCCATATTGAGGTAGTGAATTTTCTCTTGGAGAAAGGTAGCAATGTGGCTACAATAGCAAGGAGCAATGGCAAAACTGCCTTGCATGCTGCTGCCAGAAATGGACATTTGGAGATTGTAAAAGCCCTTCTAAGTAAAGAACCTGGAATCACATTAAAGATTGACAAGAAGGGCCAGACAGCTCTCCATATGGCTGTTAAAGGACAAAACGTAGAAGTGGTAGAAGAGCTGATAAAGTCCAATCCTTCATTGATCAACCTTTCTGATACCAAGGGCAATACTGCATTGCATATAGCAACTCGCAAGGGTCGGACTCAGGTAACTGTTATTACCAATTGCTGAGCATTTCTTTGCTGTCACCTTTGCCTTATCAGAGAACAGCTATTGCTTTCTCTCAGTTTTCAGAAAGCAGATGAGTTGATCTTAAATTGTAGTGTCTTTATCGCATAATAGGGAGCAATAGGGGGATTAGAAATTAAATCAACCCAACTTGCTCATAAATTTCAATCCCTCTTATAAATTTGTTCATAAATTCTTTCTTCTTGCAGATTGTTCTTAAGCTGCTAAGTCACAATGGAGTTAACAAAGAGGCCATTAATAAATCTGGGCAAACTGCTCTTGACACTTCAGAGAAAACTGGGCAGATTGCAATTGCATCCATCTTACAAGAGCATGGAATCCAGTTTGCCAAATCCATCAAGCCATGGCCAACAAACTCAGTTCAAGAACTAAAACAAACTGTAAGCAATATAAATCATGAGGTTCACAACCAGATTCAGCATACACATCAAACAAGAAAACATGTGCAAGGCATGGCTAAGCGGGTCAACAAAATGCACACAGAAGGGATCAATAATGCAATCAACTACACAACAGTTGTAGCTGTTCTCATTGCTACAGTTGCGTTTGCTGCCATCTTCAGTGTCCCTGGCAAATATGTTGACTCAAAGATGCCTACTCCAGGATTTTCTCCTGGAGAAGCAAGAATTGCTCCAAATCCAGCATTTATGATTTTTATCATATTTGATTCTGTAGCCCTCTTCATATCATTGGCCGTTGTTGTGGTGCAAACTTCAGTTGTAGTCATAGAACGAAAGGCAAAAACGGAAATGATGGCTATTATCAGCAAGCTCATGTGGTTGGCTTGTGTGCTGATTTCAATAGCATTTCTTGCACTGTCATATGTAGTAGTTGGAGATGATGGAAGGGAGTTGGCTATTTTTATAACAATTGTAGGTACAGGGATCATGATATCAACCCTGGGAACATTGTGTTATTGGGTGATTATGAACCGAATTGAGGCTTCAAAGTTACGGAGCATTCAGAGATCATCAATGAATAGTAGGTCACAGTCAGCATCAGTGTCATTTATGTCAGATTCAGAGATGCTGAACAGTGAGTATCACATGAAACTCTATCCAGTTTGAGCTTTCATATGCCATGCATCCTTTTTGCATTTGTTTTGTTCCTTTTTGTAATTCCCCACCATGTATCATGTACATAGACCTGACTGTAACATAATCTCAGGACATTGCTTCTTATTGAAGCAAGTGTTAGAAATTTCTCAAGTTCAGTACACAGCTTGTATGGATTGTGAAAGCTGTAGAAATGTAATGCCTTTTTCTCAAGTTCAATTGAGGAAGATCTAATTAGCCTATTATTTTAGTGCATCTTTTCCATTACAACTTTATGTTGAATGATGTTAAATATTTTCTGTCTTTGACCATGTTCTTATTCTCATTGTCATTGGTTTCACTTTTTTTAACATCCTTTTTAATCTCTCTCCTACTTTTTTGTTCAACTCCGTTTGGCAGTATAATTATATTGTACAGGACAAACATTGTTGAAATATGCAGTAGTGATGCAGAGTCCAAGAGATCTGTGCTAATGAAAATTTGTTGCTTTGTTATGCTTCAAGTGAGGTTTAGTAATGTTCATCTTTGTTCTATTCAATTCTCTAGATAAGTTTCAATTTTTCTTTGCTTTGAGGATCTATAGCCTAGAGTGTGTAAAAGTTGATCAACAAATTGAAGAAAAGGTGCCCAAATGAATCTGGCAACCAACTAGCATATGGACCTGCTTATGTAGGTAATCACATCTCTGATGAATGATGCATTTCTATGACTTATGTTTCACTATTATCATAGTTATTTTGTTTCCACTTTATCTTTTAGTCTATGAAAGGAAGTTTAGTAAATCCTAGTTCATATAATTAAGCTTTATATTATTAAACAACTTTTGCAGGCTGCTTCTGTGGGTGACATTTATCAATACTAGAATTTTGATACTTAGTTGTGTATAAGATTTTTTCAGCTGGAAGTTAGATATAAGATGAAAATGAAGGCTAGAGTTTCATTTGACAAAAAGTAGAAGATATTGAGAGAAGATTAGAGGAAAGGTTGTATAGAGGGAAGAGTAATATTCATCCCATTTTTCATTTCTTCACTCTCATTTTTCCTTCTTTTCAGATGAATGAAAAAATTTGTTTCCGAAAAATACCAAAACTGGATGTTTCCTGCTGCCTGCAAGTATGAGATTTTCCTTCGCTTCGCTCTTTTCCTTTTGGCCTTCTTTCCTTCACTTCCTTATTGTACATTACTGAGAATGCATCAGAATAATAAAGTGCAACAAGATGACGAGTCACACCGGATTTTTTTTTTTTTTTTTTTTGATATTTAAAAAAAAAATATTTTTATTCTTTAGGAACTGATATGGATGCCTTGAATCTCCTCTCTAACTGACTTTTTTCACATGCTTCCACCATCTGACTGGACCCAGCAGTGCAACTTCTATCCCTTTATGTCTGTTAAGATATGCAACCTGATTTTCTTGATTGTTTAGATCAGTAACTCATGTGTGTGTTCTTTTTCCTCTTTTCTTTTATTGGTAGTAAATCTTGAGATATTGGGTTGGACTTGAATAGGAACGTAATTCATGAGATGGAAGGAAGAGTATTTATATCATAATATGTTGCTAATAAGAGGAAAAAAAAAATCTTAGAAATAGTCTTTTATGCCACTGTCAATCCATTTCAGTCAAATACACAGTACTTCTACTGTTATTTCATGATATTTCTCAGCTAATAATCATGTAGTTATTTTTCTCCCTTTTTCTGCCCTTCTTGCCAAGCCCTTTTTTGCAATTCCTTAAGTCATATCCGAATTTGTCCAATTAGATGGGAAGACAGTTGCTTTTCAACACTTGTCTGATAGCCCTAGTGAAGACCATCAATCTATTAGTTCTCATGCCACTTCAATTATTTTCCAACCAATCTTGTCAAAAATCTGGCATACTTGTTTTGTTTAGTCTCATGTTATGTCAAAATCATGAAATAATACACTATTAAGATGATTGTATCTTTGTTTTTGTTTGATCTTAGGTATAATATAATAATGATAATGAATGACCCTTTTTTTATTCTTTTATAAGATTTAACATGCTGTGCATAATTGTCGAAACAGAAATAGACATTTGGTGATCACAATCATTATCAATAGCACAAATTTGGTTAGTAGGCAAAAGTGCAATAATGTAGTGCCATTTTTCCTTTTTAGTAACTAAGTAGTTGTTTTGCAGAAGATAAATGCTGCGGTGGAGTGGGATAATCATGCTTGCTGTGAACAAGGCTTCTTAATCTTGGTTTCAACAGAAGCTTTTAACTGTTAAACTAATTTCTTTAACTTATTATCTGAGAGTCTCTCAAGCACAGATGCAAATGCCTGCAACGTGCAAGCATGCGGCAATGGCATCTGTTCAGGTAAATGAATAGTTCATAGAATGGTTAATTAGAAATTATTTTTGGTAAATTGATCATTTTTATCAATATGAAATGTACTTTTTCTTTAATCTTTACTGAATAGAAAGATGTCATTCTTCATTTTTGTGCACAAAATGCCATAATATCTCACAAAGTTCTTTGTGGAAAATGAGGATTGTGGGTAAAGTCTTGTAAAAGTCGTAAGAATCTAGATCTGGAGAAAAGCACTACGCAAGAGCTGTTAAGACCTAGTTTGTACAGAAACCAAAGATCTAAAAGTGGCTTTATTTACCGTAAAAGGTTCCTCCACTTGGAGGGAAGGAAAGGAGCTAAAGTTTTATTCCCAGCTCTTTTCATTTGTTCATTTTCATTGTCAGAAAATGATTGATAAAAACTTTGCATGAAAGGAGTAAAATTTAGTAAAAGTTGGCATCTTCTCAAAAGGAAAAAGGTACAAAGGACCATAGCAAGGGCTAGGCATTGTAGAGTAGGATTTCTTGTCCCATCCAAGAGGGAAAAGAAATAGGGAAATAACAACAGTAACATAGATGATGTTGAATTCATCTCACTCTATTAGTGCAATAGCTTAGCAAGACAAAAAAAGGAAGAAACACTAATCAATTTTACTTTTCATTGGACTACCATCTCACATTCCACATTTCTTCTCTTTTTTTCACAGCATCATATTCACTAGCTGCAAAATCCAGGCTCTCTTGGTCCCCCTCAATAGCTGCAATCCTGGAAGCAGAAAGGGAGCAAACCCCAAGATCACTTACCGTTTTTCTTGGAGCACTGGACATCTGCGCAGACTGCTTACAGTGAGCAATTGCTCCCTCAATTGAACTTTCTAGGTCTAAGTTTGCGCTGCTACTCCTTTTCAGAAACTGCAAGTCACAGAACCCACTTGAACTGAATGAAAAAGATGATGATGAAGAAGAACCAGAGGAAGATGTAGATGAATATTTTACTGCAGAAGGCCGTTGAATTGCCCCTGAGAATGACCTCCTTTGGCTATTAGCACCACCATCTTCAATCATCTCTCTGTCCTTGCTCTTAAAGACACAAGTTGGTGTCTTGAATCTTTCATTATCAATCCTTCCAAATGGGGTTTTCTTCCCCACTTTCACGTACTTGTTTAAGCAATCTTTGATTTTTAAAGCATTTACTGCTTCTTTACCACTTGCTGCCTTGGCACAGGATTCATCCGAACAGGCAGACTTACTGAACAAAGACCTAATGTATGCCCGGGAAGCCTTGAGCTTCTGACCAAAGGAGGACTGCTTGAGTTTCCTTCCCCACGATTTCTTTGAATTATAACCAATGAAACCATTTAGTTCTTTGGACCATTCGAAGAAATACTCATCTGGGTTTATTTCACTACTCACCCTGCAGGACTCTGTTGGGGAGATGCTGCATGATTCCAAAGGGGTACTGGTATTAGTAGAAGGAGTAGCAGAGCCAGCAGCCATGAAAGGAATGGAATAGCGTTCTTCCAAGTGTTCCTCAGTTTTGGAGTCAAAAGTTGAGTTGGAGCTCTGGAGGAGCTTCTGGACCATTTGCAGCCTAGGAGGAAGGTGGAGAGGGAGGAGCTTCCCCTTGTAGAAGAGCTCATCAGCCGGAGAAGTGGTAGACTCTCCATCAAGAAAAACTGAACACATTTGGAACTCAAACTCCCTGCTTTGAGGTGGAGAGCTAATGGAGATACACAGGTAGTTGGAGGATGAACTTAACTCCATATCAAAGTAGTCTTCATCTGCATCATTACTTGAAACTTGGCTTTTAGTTGCAGCCATTTCATGTGAACTCTCTATCTTCCTCTATGAAGATGCTTATGGGAAGATGAGCTTGGTGAAGAATGAGAAGAAAGCAAAGCATCATTTAAAGTGAAGATGAAAGTGAAGATGGAGCCAAGTTAGAAAAGTAAAATTGTCAGGATATTTTCCTCTACTTTCTCTCCTCAGTAATATCTTAGAATGGTTCCAAACAAAAAAATGCAGGAAAACACTGGATTTTCCCCATTCCTGAACAGCTTATTGCCTGTACCTTTGATAAAGTATTTGCATCTGTTTTCCCTTTTTCATACATTTTCCATTGTTTGGATCACTTTGTTCTTTTATTTCATTTGCTAAATTCAATTCATTTCATATATATTAATTTTGGGTTTCTTTTCAATTTCAAAAAAATCTCTTTAAGAATAAGTAATTTAATTTCCACATAATTTCCTTGTTCAAATTATTAACATCCCGACCAAAGTGACATCCACTTATATCCATAATTGTGCAGAAAGTGAGAATTTTCCACTATAAGGATGGAGACAGTTCCTATTGATTTTTCTTGAACTTTTTACTGTAAGTACTAGCACACCCCCATTCTCTTCTTCCACACTCCAAACTCCACGGTACTGTTGAGAAAATGAAAGTAAATGCAGAAAAAGAAAAAAAAAAAAGTAAAAGCAGAAACAAATCAAGAACTAGGATGGAATATTGTTGGAACCTTATTTGAAATCATGATGTGTATAGTTTACTCTATCCTTTTGGGAATTCTCAATGACCTTTTCAGCCTCTGCTTATTATATGATTCCATTCACTTTTAACAGTACTCTTGAGAAGTGGTAAATTAAGAGTGTGTTGGGTTAGCAGTTTTTGGGGAAAAAAAAATATTGCTGCCACAAGCTGATGTTCACAAAAACTGCAAACCAAATGCAAGATCTTTTTTTTTTTTTTTTACATTTGATGATTTACAGCATTAGATTTGAATCTGAAATCTTTCAACACTTCCAGTTATTATAAAATCATTAGATTATGGTTTTACTGGCCACAAGAGAATACACCATTGTTGGACTATAATATATATATGTAGGTAGACAAATACAATACGCAGCAGATCTGTTGTTTTGCTGCACATCCACAAACTTCTCTGCAACAAAATTTGCATTTTTAGAGGGGGCAGCCCATTTATCAGAACATGGTTTTTTGAAATCCCCTAATTCAATAATAAATTCAAGTTTCTAACCCATTTAGTAAAATTTAACCCTAGTTTATTCTCTCCAAGAACTAGCTTGGACTATTGCCCATTTGCCCTGTAGCTATGGTTGCTTGCTTCCGTCTGACTTGGTCAAAACAATCTCAAAATTTTAACCCTTCCCATTTCCGCACCTAGCTCTTTCTTCTCAGTTTTTCAACTTACTATCTCTTTAGGCTTATTTCTATTATAGGAATATTCACTAGGGAACATGCATAAGGTCCAAAAGCTCATAATGGGACTGATTGTCTAAAAACAAGGCTTTGTCCAGCTTGGAAAAAAAAGGAAAAAGAAAAAGGTGAATAAAAGGATTTTATCGAATATCAAGGCTTTAACCTTACCGCTTGTTTGGTTGCAGCCTTCCAGGGAAAGTTTTGGTTGCCTCCAGAAAGTGTTGACCACATGAATCCAAGATTGTGCTGTTGAGTGTGTTTAGTTGTCGAAAACCCCTGACTTCCTCATAAACTTTACCTTCCGGGGCCTTTTTCAAAGGCAGCACATCCTGGGAAAATAGCGGCTTTAGTTAACTGAATACTCAACAGACCAATCTTGGGGTGAGCAGAAGCAATATCTGAGGGCGGCAACATCCCCATAAGGCTACAATCAAACACAGCTTTAGTGCTTTCATGTGGTGTTTCCAGAAAAACATTATGGCTTTAGCCCTTTGTCCAAAAAAACGCTACAAAATATTTTTGAGTTTACAATTTGCAGTTTAACGCAAAAAATAACTATTAATTAGAAGAAAATGGCCTCACATTTAAGGGGCCCTCTCTTATTAATGGTTAACATTATACAATTCAATACAGTAAATATTTTTAGATTTGGTTTAGTGTAGCTATAGATTATAGGCCATCACGTGAAAATGCTCTCACCCCAGTACAGACCAGGGGATCCAGCACTTGCATCCTGTCTTCCATGGCTCCATGTTAGGATATATAACCCTGTCAAGACAGACACATATTGGTTGATACCCAGGGACCCAACAGTCCTTGAGGGCTACTTTTAGAAGAATGGACCTCATGGTCCCACTTGTGATGGACCCCAAGTGGAACATTTCATTCAAAGGAAGGAGTTCAATAAGATTTCCCAGCAACTGAGCTTCCATGGACAGACAGATTGAAGGCAATGAAGCAGAACGAAAGTTAAACAGGAATTATACAGAGCGTTGTATTTGTGTAATGAGGTATATCCCTACATTTCATCAGGAAAAAATGGGAGAATTTACACCAAAAAATTGAATTCGGCATTTGAAATTGTTGTGGGGGGACTGATACTGATGCTTTGCATGTTGCTTCTAAGCTCCTGAGCGAGAAGATACAAACATATCTTCTCTAAGAATGTCATGGCACCACCTTGTTTTAAGATTAATGTACCATGGAGGCCTATAGCCGATTAATAGGGAAGTATGTTGCTAGCTAGCTGCAATTTGTGGATCCTTGTCAAATGCATCAAACTCCCAATCGCCAATCTCTTCTGTTTCCTCATCCGAATGGTCACCAGCATCCAACCCCAGATCAAATTTTGTTTTCCCTGCTTCTTCCTTTCCTGAGGATTTCTTTTCTCCCTTCTTTGAGGACTGTTTCCCCAGAGACTTAGATGACCATGAGGTTTTCAGAGACTTGGTAATGGATGGCGACTGTGATGCATGGCTTGGAGTTTCAATTTCCAAAGTTGGTCTTTCAATGGACTCAAACTCCATTTTTATATCTTCAAGAACATCAAATAGCTCCCTGGCCTTCTCATCATTTTTCCTGGACCAACATCATGTAACATTAATGGCATGTTACTCATTAGATGCATTGTGTAGTACACAGAAAAGGGGAAAGAAAGATGAGATAACAATGTTTTACCTTTGAATGGCTACATTTGTTGAGTAAAACTGCATTTTCATGGTATCCACTACACTTAAGGTGGTCACAAACTGTAAAAACAGAAGATAAAAATGTCATCTCTCAGATAAAGGTATAAGAAATACTGCCATATAGAAATTGAAAACAATATGAACACTCTACTTTGGAAAAGGAAACGTGCATAAATTTAAACAACAAGATTAGAAGGAGCAAGATCCTGAATAGGATAGTTGCATACTGTCTCTAAATATTGAGAAAGACTGTTACGAATCTAGAAGATATTTACCTGAGATGTATGAAAAAGCTACACGTACCTTGGTTTCAAGGTCCTTATATTCTTCTTCAAGATTTTTTCTCAAGTTCAAATCTTCCAACTTCTCATCCTTGGATTTTCTCTCTGACCTGATTTAGTAAAACAATCAGGAAACTTGACTTGATCATTCACTAAACATTGCTAAGAAATGAGGCACAATACCCTTCATTTGAGGACAACATTATCACAAGTTCTCTAATACGTGAGATAGAGGGTCCCAATTGTTCCTAATTAGAGACAAGGTCAAATTTAATGAGGAAATTATACAGCATTAGAGTAATAAATGGCAAGTGGAGAATGTATTACCCGCATTCAACTGTAGAGGTGAGATGGAGAGAGCCATACCTTGTAAGAGGATAGAAGATGAGTGACTAGATTCACAAAATACCCTCCATATTTCTCCAGTTCATCCCTTTAACATTCATGAAAGGAAAAAAAAAAAAGGAGAGAGAAAGATTCCTCAAACACAATAATACTGCAGGCATTTATAAGAAAAAAAAAAATAACGAGACATGTAAAGTGTATTCTAAGCAATTAGATCTAGATTTGGCCTATAGATTTTAGGACAACAAATATTTGGAAGTTGCATATATTTATTTGATAATTTCTTACAGAAAAATAGATATACATACTTGATGTGCTTGTCCTTTTGCTCTGTGTGTGAGGCCTGGAAAACCCAGGTATCTTCCAGAAAATTAACCCATGCGGTGACAACATCTGCTTCTGCTCTACATGATTTAACTGATTTTGCAAGCTCATCTTCCTATGGCCAAAAGAAATTAAAAGAGAAAAGGTATAAATAGCAAAGATATATCATCTGACTAGAATTTAGAACATGAGGCAACAGTTAAAGCTATAATACCTTCGCTTTCAGATGTACAAGGATCTGATTACTGGCATCATCAAAGTGATTCCTCTCTTCCCTGGCATTGTGTAGGCGGGCACGAGCAGCCGCAAGTGATGAATTGACCTAAACCAGATTTAAAACCATAAACTTTTCTACCACAAGAGGATACCAACAAGCGGTTCACCTTCCATACACATGAAACAAGACATTTACATGCACAACAAAACACATTTACTGGGCAGATAGAAAGCAGAATTGAAACTCAGCTGAGCTATATCAAACATTACATATCTTGAAGAGTTCTTTTGTAAGTTTAAAATTATCATTCTGAGGAAAGGAAAAGAAAAGGGAAGGCACACATAGAACCTGCTTCAGTTGAACTTCAAGATCATCCCTTTGATGCTCAAGCTCTCTAATTTCTGCTGCTAGTTCCTGAAAAAGGACATGAAAACTATTTTTCATGTTGCATAATACAATACCATAATCACAAAACTGAAGTTCACTTTTCTTTTCTTTTTTCATTCTCAAACTTTCTAACTTTTGCTTTCAGTTCCTGAAAAGGAGCATGAAAATTCTTTTTCCATGTTCCATAAGACCATAATCACAACCCCAAGGATCCAGTTCTCTCAACCCTAATCCCATAGCTAATTGAAGCTTCAAGATGGTAGTTTCATATGAATATCAATGGAAATAATGTGTCTCTTTAAAAGTATCATACTTCATTTTTATATGGTTCTTCCCTCCTATGTAGCACAAAGAGAAAGGTTGAGGATGGATGGAGGGATTAATGCATTTTGAATGTCTAAGGAAGAAATAAACTTAAGTGATGGCTGGGTCAATTTCTTCAATAGTAGATATTATTAGAAAGGGCATAGTTTCTCTGAAGAAGTTGTACCTTCTCAAGCTGGCTAACTTCATTGGCTTTAGCAACACGAAAGTTGAGTGCTTCTTCCTTCTGATATCTAATTGAAACATAAAGGAGGGAAAGCAGAAAATTACAGAAAAATTCAATGGAAACTAAAAAGAGACAGTAAAAACTCATTTCTCTAGCTCACACTTTCAGATATAGAACCAAACAAAAATTACAAAGACAAAATGAAACACTGCCACCTTACATGCCAAAAACAAAAACCTTAAATTTTAATCTCTTAGTACTCCAGTTATTTCGTTCCTTGTAATGATGATAAAAAGAATTTCACACAACCCAAACTTAGTAAACAAGAAACACTTTACAAAGAATGAACTAGAAGTGACAAGTAGCTTTCCATTCTAATTGAAAGGTTTTATGAATACATTGTAAGGGCTGACTCTTATCAAGGCATGTAATTTCCAAGTTGCTGTTTGTCAGGCCTAAGAGAACTTAATTTTTTGCAGTAAGGTAATGACTTATCCATCATGTTCAAGGGGACAAATAGATGCTCCTTCTGAGAAGGGTTTCATTATAACAAAGGGCCGCAGTTGATAACTAGGTGATTATGAAGCATCACTCTTCAGCATTATTTTAAAAAAACCAAATAGCTTTTGCAAGAGTCTTTGTCAATAAGAGAAACAGTACTAAGCCATTTGCAAATATTTCACAAAGAAAGGCAGTGAAGAAATTCCAATACCACCTGTGGTCTAAAATGCGCTTTTCAGCCTTTGAGGTAGAATTAATGAGGGATTCTGATAAAACTTTTAATTTGTGGACCTGCAAAGTAGATGGATTGTGGATAATTTTGACGTCCACTGGAAGTAATACCATACTCTGTTTACTAATTCAATTGCTATCTATAATTCCAAATTTGCAAATTTTTTTGAAGAGTCATTCCAAGATTCCAATAAAATGATAGATTTAAACAATATAAACAGAGATATTATTTGAATCTCATATAATTTCAAGATAAATGCAGTGGAATCAACAGAAGAACGATAAAATGGTTTTATCAAGCATTTGACAGGCAAATCATGGGAACATCAATAGAAGAAGTTTAAACACCAAGAAAATAATAGGATGGCTGTAAACTGTGGCAGAACAGCTTCAGTTTTTGGGCATCAGAAACATCTTAAAGTTGAATTGCCACCATTAAGCACTCTGAGATCTTACTTGGAAAAATAAGATTAAGTGGTTCAAAAATGGATGCCAGAGAGAAGCCTCTTGACAGGATCATATGCATAAATTAAGCTTACTTTATGGTAATAACAAATGAAAGGTAGGAAAGCAAAGCAAAAAAAAAAAAACAAAAACAAAAAGGAGGAAGTTTTAAACCTCCTAAACAAAATAGATTACTTCTTTTTTGTGCATATCAATAACTATTCAACCTAGACTAAGATGTGATTTTTCTGTCTTGATAATGACCTTTAATTGTCCTCCCTCATACATTTTAGTTTTTAAACATGGACTTAATAGATAACTTCTAGGAAGTTAGCTATATTTAACATCTTGCAGAGAATTGACTTCTATTTATAGACCAGATGTATGCTGCTCATGTGTGAGAGGAGAAAATGGTACCTTCTCAGCATGATGTTCTGGAGGGTCCCCATTGCTTAAATATTTCTTCTTTAGCAAGAGCTGCTCCAACTTGAAACATAATTCAACTTGTCCAAGTGCCTCATTTACAGCCTAGAGGGAAGATCAAAGCATTCAAATTATCTGAATTGTAAAACAGAGAAGTATATGATTGATGAATAGGCTATTTGATACACACTAGAATTTTTTGAAATCATATATAAAGGAGTTAGTGATGTGGATATTAGGAAAAAGAACAATGATGGAGATTATGGATAACAAAATGGTCAAGGATGGCGAGCTGGACTTTCATCCTTGCCCATATATGATGCATATAAATGTTATGCAACTACCTTTAGCCAACAAGTATGCTTTATAGACCATGAAGATGTAGGGAAGGTATATTTCATGGTATGTACACAACTGGTAGACATCAGTAACAGTGCATAGGTTGACAAAGACTCAGGAAGTGTCAACATGACAAGTTTAAAAATAAAATTCTAAATATTAAACCCTGGGAAAAGGATTTCACAACCAGAATTTATAGTCAATGTAATGTTATTAAAATGTGAAACATGTTGTGCACAAGCATTAATGGACACTTAGATTAGCTTCACCTCTGTTGATGCAGCAGCAGGTTCTTCAGAAGATTTTTCATGATTTTCATTTGAAATCTGCTGAATTTTCTTCGATTTTTCAAGTTTTTCCTTTATCTTGCAGACCTCAGCATCTATTCTGAGAGCAGACACAAAAACAAGTGGAGGTAAAAGATTATATTTTTAGTCATTCTGTTTCAAAATAATGAAACCTACAGACTAGCTTTTCAAACATTTATAAAAGTGATAATAAATTCATATTACAAATAGATACTAATGTTGAGACTTGAAAGAGAAGTTCAAATTGCCAACATAGTTACTGAATTCAACGAAATTTCTTTCAGAAATTTGCATCCTAAGGAACAATGTTTACGTACTGACTTTCAGAATGACAGTTATAAGTAGCCAAGAATTAATTCATTCCCTTGAGTTCTGAGACTAAATATAAATAGTCCAGCTCTATGATCATAGTTGGAAGGTGGAACTTGTAATTGTCAAAAGAAGATTTCAACAATTAAGGTGGAATTGTTCTAACGAATGTCTTTGTCTGCCCAAAAGCCTTTCCTTCATCAAAATACAGCTCATCTACATAACAAAACTGGAAATTTGTCCAAATTACTTTCAGCAAACTTGGGTACTATAGGTCTAGATGTCAAGTCTAAGTATTATAGATCAAGGACAAATAAAGTGGAAAAGTTTTTGAAGTAGAAACTATGAATCCAGCAATGTGAGGACGGCACATAATTAAGACAACACCATGCAGGCACGAACAAAAAGAACAGACATGTTTGATAGAAGACATCCAAGTATCTAGTAGTTCATTGGAGGAAGCGCATAGAGAACAAAATTTGAATGTGAAACCCATTAATAGCACAAAATACAGCCATAATAAAAGAGATATTATCGGTAACCACCTTGCAAGATCAGCATTTATTTTCAGTCCTGCAATTGCAGCTTGAGCATATTGGAGCAATTCTTCTCGCTTTACCTAAATGGGAAATAAGAGAGGGACACAATGGGCAAAGGTTGCATTTTAGAAAGAAAGGTAAGAATGTGCCAACTTGTATGATCATTGAAATAATTGAATGCTCAAATTGGCAGTTCACTTAAGGCTCACAATCATATTCCTAAATCTAGGTTGATGCCTGATAATAATAAAACTTAGATATAGAAATAGAGTTAATCATGCAGAACCTTTGTAAAAGTAAAACATGTTTGACTGCACATAAATGTTTTGTTAAGATGCCTCATTTGGTTGGAAACAGCCATCAGTGGAGACTGGAGAGTAGAAATGAAGACCTTATGGCAAACAAACAACTTTTGAAACTGGAAGCGTTTGCATTATAGAACTTGACATGACAAGAAGTTGGTACAATGCTCAGCAGCATGAATTACATTGTAATAAAACAAAAGTTCAAAGGCCAAGACAGCCCAAACATTTAAGCATAACATCAGTTACGGTGCTGATCTCCCTGTTGGGGCACAACATAGAATAGACATGGTTTAACTAGTTCTATGGAATCAATAGTTGCAACTATTGACTACTTTATCCAAATGTGTGCCCACACCTAGATGTTAAATAAGTTTAAGCTCAAAATGAGACACAGAATATGTATTTCTAAATATTAACAGATAATCTCCCATTACTTATGAATAAATTTACCAGAGGATGTATACTGCAAACTTACTAATACTTCGTCCTCGTAGTCTGAGAATGCGAATGCTAGACTCAGTATGCTACTCATTACAGAATTATAAATTTCCTTTCCTCCCGCAAGACAGAGCCTGTAAATAACCATACAAAAATGGAATTTACATGGATTACATAATATGAGGCAGAAAGCATATTGCTCTTCACAATTTTTATTTTCATCATAAATGAGCAAATATAAACTCTGGGAACAGTGGCCAGTCAGCTATTAAAAATAAATAGGAGAGTGAAAAGAAATACCGATATATTTCTAGAAGTAGCGAAACTTCTTCCTCATTTGGAGCTTCAAGAATCTGAGTCATACAAAAGAGTTAACCTGCGGTTAAACTCAATTGATCAGCAAATACACAGCCCAAATAAGAGTGGAACAAGAATGGTTAAATAACGGAACAATTCCATCAGAATACAAAGATTTGCGGGAGAAAAGGACTGCCCCTGAACAAGTACATAACCTTTTTCTCTGGTTAGTTCTTAATCAGTTATTATGAGACCCAATTGCCAAATGAATCTGCATTGGAGGCCCAGCATCACAGAAGAGAAAAGGCAGCCAAACTAGGAAAGACCCACTCTATAAACGTGTAATTTGATTTCACTTTATATGTTTCAAAATGACCATATTGAAGGGATCCTCTTAGACCACTATGCTCTTTCAAGGACCAGCTACCATTAACACAATAGCAAACAAGAAGTTGGCAATGCATTACTTTAGACTCACCACAGATAATGTTATGCCTTCAAGAGCTTGACTGTGAAGAAAAACCTCCCGGAAATTCATAGGCTCACCCCCAAAATCAGGGTCAACATAATAAACCTATAATCAAGCACATAAATTCCATAAGCTACAATGAAATTTTTTAAAATAAATAAATAAAGAACAAACAGACAATAAGACCAACATTACTGACCACAGTGGGCTTTTTAGGAGAATCCTTGGACTCCTCATAAGAAAACTGGTCATCGGCATTTTTGTCATTAGAATTGTTATGAACGTTGTTATTAGCATTAGAATTATTATTATCTTCAATATAATTATTTTTTTTAGTACTGTTATCTGAATCAACCGCTGATAATCTTTCGATTTCCTTAAGCGCAACCAACCATCTTCTCAACAACTGAACTCTCTCCATTCCTTTACACGTCACCGAAACTTCTTCCAATCTCTTCACCGTTTGCCTAATGCTCTGCAAATTCCTAGCCCCCTGCGCATCACACGAGCGATTTAAAATAAAATAGAATAAAGGAAAAAAAGGAAGAAAGCGAAATCAATTACCATGCGATCCTGGAGAAGCCTGGCGCCTTCGGCAACCGCAAATCCGGCTTGTTGGACAGCCGATTCGGCGTAGCTCCGCACGGTTCGAGTCAGGTTGTTTTTACCTCCGGCTTCCACCGCTCTGTCAAGGGCTGACCTCAACCACGACATCTCTCGCTCTCAGAAACGGCGAGGAAAGAAACGGTATTCCGACGGAGAGGAGGTAGTGAGTGTGGTGCGATCGGAGATTGAATTGAGGAGGAAATGGAAATCAGGTGATTGTTTATCCTGGCGTTGATTCGGGAAAGGAGAATTACGGATCGGAAAACGAGAGGAGGGAGAATGAGTCAAGGAATTGGCGCGCTTTAGCGGAACGAAATTCGAGTTTTATATGGCTCTGCGTTGGCTGCGTTTTGTAGTAACGAATCCATTGCGCCAGCAAGGAGAAGGGGAGATTACGTGACGCGTTGACTTCTATTTTCTGATTCCTGACTTGCTTTTTAAGGAGGGCAAAAACCCTACTGAAGCCCTTAAACTTACCCTAAAATAGTATTTAAACCCCTAAACTAAAAACAAAGCAGATAAACCCTCAAACTCCACTAATGATGCAAATAAGCCCTTTTCACTCATGAGTATTCATGCTTTCAATGTGATATTAAACATGAAATACCATTCAGAACATGTTTGGATTAGCTAGTAAAAGTTTTTACTTCTTTTGTATTGTTCATAAATAATAAGTTTAAATTTTTATTGAAGGAAAAATTTAAAAATTGCTTTTAGAGATAAAAAAAAGTGAATAAAAAATGAGTAAAAAGAGAGTTCATGAAAAGTTTAAATTTGAAACTTTTGAATTTAAAATTTTTGAATTTTTACTGTTTGAAATATTTTTAAAATTAAAAAAAAATTTAAAAATGTAAGTTTTTAAAAGGAAAATATAAATTTATGAAATATGAATAGTATCAAAAAGCTGAAGCACTTGGAAACTGAATCAAATATACTCTTAACTGGCTTGTGAGAAGGGTTTATTTGCATCATTAGTGGAGTTTGAGGACTTATCCCCTTTGCTTTTAGTTTAGGGGTTTAAATGCTATTTTTGGACAAGTTTGGAGGCTTAAGAAGGGTTTTTGTCTTTAAAGAGAGGAGGACAAATGATGTGGGGCTCGCTTTTTGTTGATTCAGGTTTGGGTCGTTGGGTTGGACTGCGAATAAAGTGGGCCGGCTGGTCGAATGTTTACTTTTTGTTCAGATGGTGTGGGCCGAGTATGGCGTTAATAAATTGCTCCCAAAGATATTGTTTAGTACATGGGAAAATTTCAATTAGCAAATATTGATTGAGTAATGCGAAGAACCCACTAAATTATCTGCAGCTAATGGAAGAAGAGCCCGTTTTCCACAATCAACTTTGTCCTTAGAGCTACATCAACATCACTCCTACTCAAAAAATGGAAGTGAGGGAAGCTACGCGCACATCCTCTTCTTCGCAGGAATCTGATCTGCTTGACCGGAGTGTCAGGAAGATCAAAGATGATTTTGCACGCCCAGATATCGGCACTACTGTAACTCTACCTTCTGATATCAATATGTCAAAACAACAGTCTTCAGCCTTTAAGAGCGCCTTGTTGGCTGCTCCAATGATACTCTCTGTTGAAACTTCAGACTAGAAGGGAGTTGCCTCTTACAAGGATAAACTGCTAGTTGCGGAAAATCCTATTGCTCTTACATTCTTTACGGTGCCGGAGTATATGGAAGAAGACTCTGATACGGATGATGACCCAGATGATGACACACCCGTTGTTCTGCTCTCCAAAGCAGAGAAACAGAGGATTCGTGCTCCTTGGATGAACGCCTTGATTATAAAGGCTTTCTACCATAAGCCACTCGGCTACAGCTATATATACCCAAGGGTAAAAGCTCAATGGGAACCTAATGGACAATGGGACTTTATCGATCTTGGATTAGATTTTTTTCTAGTGCGGTTTCATGATGATGCGGATTTGCATAAGATCATCTTTGGAGGGCCATGGTTTGTGGGACCTTATTTCTTGACCATGAGAAGATAGGAGCCAAACTTCATCCCATTTGAAGCTCTACACTCATTTACTACCACGGTTGTCTGGGCCCAGCTGCCTAACCTCTCAGCGGATTACTACGATCCTATCACCTTGTAGAAAATTGGGAATCAAGTTGGCACTCTCCTATGAGTAGATGCACATACAGCTCATCATACAAGAGGTCAATACGCACGTATATGTGTTCAAGTAGATCTGTCCAAACCGGTGGTGAAAAAGGTAAGGATCGAGAGGCATAAACAAAAAGTTTTGTATGAAGGTGTCAATGCCCTCTGTTTTTCATGTGGGCGCTTGGGCCATAGGAGCACTCAATGTACCCATAACTTGTCATCTCAAATCAATGAGGCTAATACATAACAACTATTGGAACAAGAAGCAAATGCCTTAAACACTTCTGAGTCAACCAAATTTGGAGATTCTTCTCTAATGCAGCAAGATCCTATACCTACCCTTACTTTGATCAAAGTTAACCAGAAAAGAGGTAAGAACACCATTGACTTATCATCTATTGAGGAACATGAACAGAAGGAGTTCGGACCATGTCTTCTAGTTGAACGACGACGTCCTCGTCGGAAAGTATCCTCCTCAGTGGAAACTCCGCAAAAACAGGCTGCCGGAATCTGCCATAGCAAGGAGAACCGTAGTGGAAATGTCCTCACCCGAAAACCCGGGTCGGGTGCCCGAAATCCTACTAGTACAAGCCACAACGGTAACACTGCTACAACATTTAATGCAAGTCAGAAACCCAACGGGCAACTTGCTACGGCACAAGATACTGAACCTGTGAATTCAAATGGGAAGCAAACAGTGCATCTATCTAAGGTCAACAATAAGAATCAGATTTGGGAGCCTAAAAAGATTATGGCACTGTGACTTGAGCCATCTGTACCATACATAAACCCACAGAACAAACCCTTGTAGGGGAAAAGTATTAAGCCCGATGTGGGCCACAGATCTACTTATTTGGCCTCAAACCAAAATGGGATTGCATCACCTTTGTTAGCCCAAAAAGACATCCAAACTATGTGCATGGCTTCGGTGAAGCCCACCCCTTGTACCACTCCTTCGGATATTGACTCGATTTCCCACAAACCACAACATCCTCCGACCTTATCCTCAAACCACCCCTTCTTCTCTATTAAGGTTCTCAGATCCTCTACTGATGGAGAACCCATTCCAAGAGTTAGTCACAAACCCCAGGATCCAGGTGGTTCTAGCAAGCAATGGAAAGTTTTTGCCGCTGGAGACAGCAATGTTCTTTCTACAACAACCAGACTTCCTGGGGCCTCAACCATGGAGCGAACATCGAACAATGCGAGCATGGTGAAGCCCGCTAGTCTTAAAAAAAGAGTTGAATCCCTAGGATTTCATCCACTTGATGCAGATCCCAACTCTGGAAACGCCAACGAGGTCAGATCTACTCTCCGTTTGGGACTTAAATTTCAACGCAGGAAGCACCTCAATAGGCAGAATAGTTGGCCTTATCAAACCACACAAACTGTGTTTTCCCCTGAACCACCCATACTGCAGCTACCTGCACTTGTTGGGCTCAATGAAAATGGTATACCTGTTCACCCGAATCCTTCCACATCCCCAAATCCAAAGGGAGATGGAGTACGAGATCACAGTGTTACCGTTCCATTTTCCGAATGCCCAGATGGTAGGCAATGTGCCAAGCGAGAACTCAATGATCCTCAACCACAGGTTAGCTAAGGAGACATTAGGCTTACTCAACACTAACTTTTGGTCAATGAAGATTATAGCTTGGAATTGCCGCGGAGTGGCCAATCAGAATTTCATGCGCCATTTCAGGGATTTAAAGAACAGTCATGCTCCTGTAATGATGCTAATTTTGGAAACCAAAGTTGCCGGTGAGCGTGCTTCCCAATTAGCTTCTGGTTTATATCCAAAGTACCACATTGTGGATGCAAAGGGATATGCTGGGGGTTTATGGCTTCTTTGGGATGACAACCAGATTATGGTGGACGTAGTAGCAACAAGCTCTCAAGCTATTCATACAACTGTTAAGGTACGCAATCATTCTTCTCCTTCTATTTCTAATGTTAATTGGTTTTTTACTGGGGTATATGGCCGTCCACAATTCGATATTAGAACCCAACTTTGGCAGGAACTTCT